TATTAGGCAAACACATATTGTTTATCTTTATTTTTAAAATAAATATTAAAGGATTATATTTGAAATAATTGAAATGAAACAAAAAGATGTTTCGATTGAGATTAATGAAAGAGGCTAATGTGTTTCTCTCCTTACTGAAAATTTGGAATGGAAAAGGTAATAATAGAATTAAGTATGCATATATGAATGTATAATTGCTGTCATATTTGTATGTAAAGGTGATGACCCGGAAATATGTTGTCCACTAAAAAGAGATTTTTGTTTTTAATGTGAAAAAGTGAATAAAATTTGTTATTAAAAAAAAAAATAGAGAAAGAAAAGGGAGAGGGGAAAAAGTGTGAGATAAAAGGAAGAAAAAAAGAAAAAGCATTGACTTCTAACTCCTTATGGCACAATAGAATAAGGTAATAACATACCTCAACTTTTTTATTTTTATATAGTGATATACCCTAGCCATTTTTTTTAACAATTAACCTACCTAAACAGCTAAACCCAAAATCAAAGGTTCATTTTTTTTCCATCTCAAGCACAAAGTCCAGAAGTGGTTTCCAAAAAGAAACGAAATTAATTGTACTGTTTTCTTTAACCAAAGCAGCCAGTTTAACTCTCTCTGCTAACTCCATAAACTTTTGCAGCCATTCGCCCATCGTGGAAATCAAAGTGTCCGTCCATTTCTTTGTGCATGAAGTAATCTTGCTGCTGTCAGCATAATATAATAAACCTTTGGAGCATACAAACCACAGGTTAATGGGATAACAGAAATAACTATAACAGAACCAAACCAAGGCCGAGCAACGCATATTTCATTCAAGGCTCTTACAGTCTGTACAGCAGCGTTTCTCAAGCTCAGCAACCTTGAGATATGTAGACTTCAACTCCCAGAATTCCTCAGCCAGCAAAGCTTGAAGTCCATTCATCTTAAAGTTGTTGAGGTGGAAAAACATGGCTAGGTAGACTCATCCCACTATCTGACCCAAGGGGAAGAAGAACCAGGTTTTTAGAGCCTTATGGAAGGACAGAAAGGCCTGGGCTATCGGGGGAATGATATTTCATAGGGCAGGTGCTGCAACAGAGAAATAAATATCGTAGGCCATTTGAAGTCACAACAGCACTGAGAAAAGTGACTACGACCATTTTTCAAACAACTGTGACAGCATCTCTGTGGTCACATGATCAAAATTCGGACACTTGGCAACTGGCATGTATTTGTGATCTGGGGTCATGTGATCATCTTTTGATGAGCAAAGTCAATGGGGAAGCCACATTTACTTAACCACCATGTTACTAACTTAACGGTTGTGACTCACTGTACAACTGATGCAAGAAAAGTCATAAAATGGGACAAAGTTCACTGAACAACTGTCTTGCTTAGCAGCAGAAATTTTGGCCTCAGTTGTGCATAAGTCTGCCTGTATACTCCACCCCATCTTTCCCACTTCAAATTCAAATTGTTGCATTATACTGTTGAGCCGTTTATGAATATAATAAGCTTTGTAACTAAACTGTGGGATTAGTCTGGTTGGCTTTGTTTCAGTAACATGCTGGTACAATATGCCAGTTTGGCATTAACGTTGTTTTCATTTTTGTGTGTGTGCCTAGCTCAGAGGTCTACAAACTTGGCAACTTTAAGGCTTGTGGACTTCAACTCCCAAATTCCTGGGAGTTGAAGTCCACAAGTCTTAAAGTTGCCAAGTTTGGGGACCCCTGGCCTAGCTTGTTGTATGAATGTAACCAAACCATCCAGGTTTCATGACTAACTCCAGTACTTGGTCTGAAGACCACATGCTAGTTTGACAGGTCTCATAGAAACTTTGTACTTGAATGATTTTTATATAAACTTAATAAAATATTACACAGATAGATAGATGATAGATAAGGTAGCAAGTTAGCTAGGTAATAGGTGTGAGAGAGAGAGTGGGGAGAGAGAAGCTGTTGGGATTGGTCTATTAATACTTAACTGATTATAAGATTGTAAAGATTAACTATGAGTATTGTTAATACACAATACTAATTTCCTTTATTAATATCCATCTTTGGGCTTTTCTTCCCTCTCTTCCTTCCACCCTTTCCCCTTTTAGTATAAGAAACCAAAGTAAAGGAGAAACAATTGGTGGAGACATGAAGATCGTTTCTTAAAGCAATTAGACTGAAGAAACCAGTTTGTGACAGTAGTTGGTTCACTGGAAGAGGAGAGAGCGTAGTTGGTTCACTGGAAGAGCAAGCTACTGGCATTTAAGAACTTCTTTGCTGTTGAAGGTCAACTTTTAATAAATAAGGGGTAAGCTGTCTAGAGCAGCTGATCTTTAGTAACTGAATTTTCTGGGTTGAAATAACATGGCCTTTACAGGGCTGGGAGCAGGAGTCATCATGATGTTGCATTTCCAGAAGACACATTCAATTTTTCCACAGGCTTTAGATCCATGGTCTGGTTTTAGTCATAGTTTACATTGGTAGCATGTTGGTAGCATGCAGGAAAATGGATTAATTTTGGACCAAGGGCTGCTCTTTCGCTGGAAGCTGTATTAAAATCAAATTTTGATTTGCCTCAACTGCTGATTTCATTGCCTTGATACTCTGTGCCATACATTCATCCTTTCCATTCACTTCTCTAGAATATCCACTTTTTTAAAAAAAAAAATAGCATTTTTCTTATTTTTTGGATAAATGGTATCTTGATACTGAGAAGTGAAGTGAAGTTCTGGGTGTTCCAACATTGGAAGCTTTTAAGAACAGATTGGACAATGATTTGTCTGAAATGGTACGGAGTTTCCTGCCTGAGCAGGGTGTTGGACTAGAAGACCTCAAAGGTCCCTTCCAACTCTGTTATTCTGTTATCAAGGGGATACCTTAAGCCACCTTGGCTTCCTGAAGAAAAAGGTGGGTGTATATCTAAAAAAAATAAAAGAAATAGCTGAAGGACCAAGTATATTTTGCAAAAGTACCAGGAAACATTGTGCAACTGAGCTGCAGAGCGAAAACAATAAAGCAAGAGCCTGAGAAAAGGCGGCCTCAGAGATGCACCATGTTGAATTTAGGACCAGAGAGGTGGGGGGCGCTCCTTTTCCTCGGCTGTGCAGAGGGTGCTCCGTTTCCAGCAGATGTTGCCATTTAATTATATTTTGCAAGTCAGCGACACACAAAATTACAGGAAGCCAGAGAGGTTGAACATATCTTGGATTTTCTGGAAGGGGAATAAAGAGAATGTTGTTGATGAGTGAAGTCCAAGGGAGATAAGGTTCCAAATTGGCCCATCTAGCGTGGCATTCTTTGTACGAGAAGCAGCTAAGTTCTTTTTTTTTTAAGGCGTCTGCTAAGAGAACGGGGGCACAGATCTTCTCCTCGCTTTGTTTTCTGTCCACATTCCTTTAGAACTCAAAGCCCGAAGTCCTTTTTTCCCCCCAGGATGTCTATTTCTCAAACAACACTCAGGCGTCTCTGGTGTAGGACAAAGATTAAGTGCAGGTAGTCCTCGACTTACGACCACAATTTTTTTTGGAATACATTTTTTATTTCTATAAATACATTATTGTGTGAACAGTGTGGTTCCAGGTCATTTGACATTTTAAAACAAACATGACCATACTTTCAGATTCATACTATTAACTTTCTTATCTAATTTATTAGTACTGTGTATTATCTATTTTTATCATTCAATATTCTCATATCCTACTTTATATCAATCTCTATAGTCTTAATATTTCTTTTGTTCTGCATATTCTCTTAATAGTCATATTTGCAGAATTTAACAAGTTATATAATTCAATCATTCAAAAATTCATATTGATTTATATTGTTCAGTATTCATCCCCCTCTTTAATGTTAATTATGCCACTATTATATTTTTAAAGCAAAGTCCCTTTCTAATCTCATTGTAATACACAGATCGTAATTTCCATCTTATTTTCATTTAACAAATTATACATTCTAATAATAATATGATCATTTCTATTACCATATACTATATTGTTTTTTTTCTATCATATTCCACATCTTTCCCTACAATATCATGTTAATTTGACTTACGACCACAAACGAACCTCAGATTTTTGTTAAGTGAGACATTTGTTAAGTGAGTTTTGCCTCATTTTAAAACCTTTCTTGCCTCAGCTGTTAAGTGAATCACCACAGTGGTTCAGTTAGTAACCCAGTTGTTAAGTGAATCCGGCTTCCCCTTTGACTTTGCTAGTCAGAAGATCGCAAAAGGGGATCACATGACACAGCAACCATCGTAAGTATGAACCAGATGCCAAGCATCTGAATTTGGTTCACATGCTCATGAGGATACTGCAAAGGTTGTAACTGAAAAACGGTCAGCGGTCACTTTTTTTCAGCGCTGTTGTAACTTTGGACCAGTAGTGGGATTCAAATTCTTTTACTACTGGTTCTGTGGGTGTGGCTTAATGGGCATGGTAGGGGGAGGATGCTGCAAAATCCCCATTCCCTCCCCACCCCACTAACCTGCTTTCCAGCTCCGTTCTCCTGTGCAGGGCAACCAAAGAAGACCCAGCCAATCAGCTGGGACTCGGGAGACAGAGGAGAGATGGAGGCGGGGCCAGTTAAAGGTGGTATTTGCCAGTTCTCCGAACTACTCAAAATTTCCGCTACCGTTTCTCCAGAACTGGTCAGAACCTGCTGAATACCACCTCTGCTTTGAACGGTCACTAAATGAACTTGTAAATCGAGGACGACCTGTATAGTTCCTCCTGCTGTAGATCGGCTGGCCATAACAGTGTCACCATACATGATGTCCTTTTGCATCCTGAGGATTAGCATAGGTTGTTGTAGATTATCTTCCCAGCTCAGGTCATTATTGTGGGTCTCATGTTGAGCAGTAATTCTAAATTGTAAGTCGTTGTAAGTCGAGGACTACCTGACATCAGTAGTTTCTCAAACTGAAAAACCATAAACCATGGTTTACTAATAACAGTAAACAGTAACGAAGCTGTTTCCTATTCTGTGCTTAAGCCATAACCCATCAAAGCAGAGAGGGGAGGAGGGAGAAAAATCTGTGTAATTGCTAGAAGTTAAAAACAACTTCATGGCACATGATCCATCAATGCTTAGTGCGAGGCGAGACCCATCCATGACTGTTGTAAGTCGAGGACTGCCTGCGGAGGAAGGGAGAGTGATCCCCAAATTTCTAAAGAGCTTTTGTGACCGAGTGGGAATTTGACCACCAAACCTAACAGTCCAAGTGCAGTTCATCCTGCATTACACTAACTCTTAGGAAAAGATAGGGGTGGTTTGAAGATGATGTCAGGTTTTCCTGTCCTCCAGAAATTGGGGATGAGGAGGGGAGACCCCACATCCCAGGGGCAAGGATGTGTAGATAAGCCCTGCGTGTCTAATCATATCTGACTCATGCACTTCCCTCCTGACCTTATGCTGCTAACGTCTGGCTATAAATATAAATTATAAGGTTATCAGCATAATGATGTAATTGTGGTGGGCAGACATGTGGTGGGGATGTTTGTAGTGATTACCCTGGTAACTCAACAATTAGGCTTGTGCTGTTTTTTTTTAATACCAGGCTACCGAATAAAGTATTGGCAGTGTCTTTCTCACCGTAAGTGGGTGAGACATCTTTACAGTAGCGTCTTTTCCAACTGGAGATGGCAAGATTGAATGAATTTAGGGAGTAAGGATAACAACAATAGCAAAAACAATAACCAGCCCTGTTTTTCCTTATTTGCTTTTAACAGGTGGCCTTGTTCTGGGCTTAGTAGCTAAGCAGGAATAGGCCTGTTTACTAGTTGGATGGAAGACTACAAAGAAATCCCAGGGCTATAATGGAAAGGGAAAAGATTGAAATGGTTAATTATGTCCATCTTGTGATTAATGATGGCTGCGAAGTCCTATGTCAGGGGTGTCAAACCCAATGTCATTGAGGGCTGCATCAGGGTTGTGTTTGACCTTGGGGGACCAGGGTGAGCGTGGCCAGCTCAAACTCGTGTCGGGGGCACCTGTGGTGGCCCAAGTACTCTGCCAGCAAAAACAGGCTCCCGAGCTCCATTTCCGGCTGCGACAGCCTCCTGCAACCCTTTGCCAGCAAAAACAGAGCTCGGGAGGGCTGTGCGCGGCCCTCATGAGCTCCGTTTCTGACTGCAATGGCCTCCTGCAACCCTCTGCCAGCGAAAACAGAGCCCGAGAGGGCTGCAGAAGGCCCTCCCAAGCTCCATTTTCGCGGGCCTTGAGTTTGACACCCCTGCTAATAGGTAGTTCTTGACTTACAATCACAATTGGGAATAGAACATCATTGTTAAAAACATTGTGGTTGTTAAGTGAGTCATGCCTGATGTTACAACCTTTTTTTTGCCATGGTTGTTAAGTGAATCACATGATTTTTCTTGTCAAAAAAACCCAAAAACCCTGGAGAAAGCATAAATGGCGATCACATGACTCTGGGATGCTGCAACATGATGGCTGCCAAGTCCTGAATTTTGGTCATGTAACCATGGGAATACTGCAACAGTCGTAAGTGTGAGGACTGGTCATAAGTTACTTTTTTTTCAGCACTGTCGTAAGTTGAAAAGGTGGTCCAGTGAATGGACCTGTATGCCATCCACTGTATGATGGCTTTCACTCTTTTTATTGAGAAATGGAGATTTTTTTTATAGAGAATAATTTAATATAGAAAATAACAATTACATAAGGGAGGCAATATAGATAAGCTCTAGAATTCAAATTATGATTAAATAATAGTTTACCATTTATAAGATTGCAAAACCACAAGAAGATCCTATGAAAGGAGTGGAATAAGGCAAGAACCATGTGTGAATTGAAGAAATATACAGTGTTCTAACCCAAACCTTGTTCCAAGGAAACAAACACGAAACAGAGGTAACAGCACAACCTTTTAATGATTCTTTATGAATTCGGTTCCTTCATTGCCAAGGTTGTGCAAGGCTGCCCAGAGTACTAGATAAAGTTACTAAGAAATATTTCAAACACAAAGAATCTCCAAACACCAACCAAAATACTCTGAACGTCCACAAGTGCAAAACTTGAGTGCAAAAACTTATTTGCTTCCTGCAAAGAACTCCGGTTTCTCAGTTGGCTTTTATCTCTTAAGGGAGGGGACATTACCTTGCAGCCTTACTCCCGAGTTGCCTGTGCTGCTGCAGCTGATCTTTCCGTTCAGCACAGGCTCCTCGGGGACCTCTTCATCACTGCTGCCAGCCTGTACAATCTCCAAAGGCAGCATTCCACTCCCTGATGGTCCTGGCCCCATCCTTTCATCACATGCAGACCCCTCATCTGAGTCCTCGCTCTCCAAGACCTCAGCCGTCCACACCAGCTGAGATATAGAAGCATAGCCAGCCAAATGAATAGGCTGAAAAATAGCTCTTATCCGTGGACTGTCAGACTTCTGAACTCAACATAACACCACAATTAGGTTTAATATGATAGACTTGCCGGGCCAGCGCCATGTGCAATATGTTCATACCGGTGTAATATAATATGTCACATACATATAGGTATATGGGGATGTGTGTTAGGGATTCTATTTCTTTCATTTATTGAGTTATTGAGGTGTATTTTGTGTTTTGTGGGGGGGGGCTGCACCAAGGGAGGCTCATTTCAATTTCATTGTACACATGTTGTGCATTGACGATAAAGTTTTGATTTGATTTGATAAGATGGATAGGCTGGGATAGGCTAGAGATTTTAATGGGTGCTCACAGTAAAAAAAATGACAACAAAGGTTATTCTAGCGGCTAGAATAACCTTTGTTGTCATTTTTTTTACTGTGAGCACCCATTAAAAATGAAAATCTGTTGCCTGCTTTCAAAAGAAAGTATATATCAATCCATACACATCCATAACACACATTAGACAAGAAGGCCTCCAAGGATCCTTCCAATTCTATTATTCTGAAGGAATTGGGAGTATTTTTTCTCTACAACAAAGCATGGGTTTTGTAGTTCAGGGAGTCTGTAGGCCCTATCCAGTTCTATCATTCCTATTCTTCTGGCCCTCAGAGCCTCCAGAGAGGGTGCTTCTGAAATTAGGGATTAAAGAACCATGTCTGTGGGTGAGGGCTGTTGTGAGGAAATGAATATCAAGAGAAAACTGAGGGTAACCTTGAGGTATTAATAAGACTGAAGCACATAATAAAGAAAACAAACCCATGTTGGCTTACAGCACGAAGAAGAAGAAGAATGAACAAATCGGCAGCAGATGGCAGAGAGAGATAGTTTTGTTCTAGCGGTTCCTAACTCCTGAGGTCTTTTGATGGTGCAGGTGCATCATCTTTTCACAGCATCTCATTAAAAACCTGTGCGATACTTAGATGAGGTGAACATTTAACCCAATAAGAGGAAAGCTGAAAGGCCGGCTGATAAAACCAAGCAGGCTGTGGGAAGCCCTTGGGATTATGGTGTTTGTTAGAAATGTGAAGATTCAAGCCTCCCACCTCCAGCCCAGGTGTAATTTCCTTTCGAAGGTCTGTGACCGAATGCCTTTTGTCTCCAATGAGCTTGCTGTGAAACAATGGTGCCGTTTTGCATTGCTTAAGCACTTCAGCAAAAAGTAGATTGGCAGGTTGCTGGGTGAGGAGAGGGGGCGGGGCTAATAAAGAGGCATCAAAACAATTCAACATTGTGGCTGAGACAACACAATCAAAACCCTGCTCCATTTTCATTACCATTGGGCAGGCCACAGTTGGGCTCCCACATCTGGACTCAGAAAACAAGCAAAACCATGTCCTGCTAATCCTTGGATTGGATGATTAATAATGATGATGATGATGAGTCAGAGATTGCCAATTCTCAGCAGCCATGTAGATAGCAATGGCAGTAGCACTTGCACACAATTGAGCCCAACTTTTCTGCTGTCAAGTGAGACGTTTGTTAAGCGAGTTTTGCCTCATCTTACGACCTTCCGTGCCACAACTGTTAAATTAATCGCTGCAGTTGATAAGATAGTAACCCGGCTGATAAGTGAATCTGGCTTCCCCATTGCTTGTTGAATAGCTTGCAAAAGGTGATCACATGGGACACAGCAAAGGTTATAAGTATGAACCAGTTGCCAAGCATCTGAATTTTGATTACCTGACCATGGGGATGCTGGAAAGGTAACTGTGAAAAATGGTCATAAGTCACTTTTTTCAGTGCCGTTGTAATTTCAAATGGTAATTAAATAAACTGTTGTATGTTGAGGACTACCTGTATTAAAACTTTCTCCAGAGAGCTGGATCTTTGCACAATGTGTCTGAAATAGGATAATTTCAGCTTGGTCTTTTGTATCTTGAGGGAGAGCTCTAGACTGATCGATTCAAAAATCCGTCAGTGGTGGTATGTTACCAGTTTGCACCGGTTCAACTGAACCGGTAGTAAACAAAGCCTCCTACGATCAGCTGAGAGGGAAAAAAATCAGCTAAGAAGAGAAAGAAGAGAAAAGTGCAGGATGGCCCCTCCCACCCGCCTCTGCACTTTTCTCTTTATCCTCTTAGCTGATTGGCGCTGGAGGCCTCATGTGGTGTGGGAAAAGCTGTCCGCGCGCTTTAGGTGCGCGCGCGTTAGCGATCACCGAACCAGTAGTGAACCAGTAGTAGTTACACTGTATTCAAAACATTTATAACACACACACACACACGCACGCACACACATACTAGGAGTCTTTTCCAACACCAAAGTTCAAAAGAAATCTCAGATCCGTTAGCTGGGCCTGGAAATTGAAAAAAAAAATCCAGTGAGAAAATAACATTCGCATGTCCCTTGCAGGGAGAAGTTTTTGAAAGCACCAGGAGTCAACCTTGACAGTGACTTTACCGTACATGAAACAATACAAACCCATTATTATCAAGCCTCTACCTTCCAGGATGTATGTAGCAGAACCTCTGGCTCAGAACAGGTGGTCCTCGACTTACGACCACAACTGAGCTCCAAGTTCCTGCTCTTAAGTGGAACATTGTGAATTTTGTCCCATTTTACGATCTTTTTCTTGCCACAGTTGTTAAGTGAATCACTGCAGTTGTTAAATTAAGTAACACAGTTGTTCAGTGAATCTGGCT